AATTGAAATTGGTGACAACATTTTATATTACAACACTAAAATGGGACGTAGATACTAAGTATCTTTGTAAATGGGAGACAAATTTTGGTCTCCAAAATGGATCAAGCAAAGTAAATTCGATGATCGTGCTCTCCATGCTCATAAGACCCACTTATTAATTAAGTGTTTGGTTGCTACTTGGTTTCTTCATGAAACTTGTTGTGAACAACTAGCCTTCCTGGTGGTGCCAGGTTGAACATAGAAGCGTGCTTCATATCTTTATTGTTGAGACGGATATATATGTCCAATGAATTTGTAATACCAATCAATTAAATATTTCAAGGCATGACATTTCCAAGTTGTGTGGCCATAACATACACAATTGGGGCAAAATATGGTTCTATCATATTTGAAAAATGCCTTGACCCTAAGGTATGCATAGGGCTGCTACTTCTTTTTGCGTTGAATCTTACCATTAAAATTCTTTGGATGACATTATTACATGGCATCGAACTTGTTATGATTCTGAAAATTCAATGTACTTCAGATGATAGAGCATCACTATAATGCTAATGATGATTCCTCGATAAGAGTTTATCATACACTTAGACCTGAAGTAATGTAGGAATTAATTTATAATACATTTGGTGAGTTGTGGCCAATCAGAGATGGAATTGGGCATAATGACTGCCTTGTGTTGTTCATATCGCTCATTGAGAGCTAGCCATATAGTGCTTGGATTTGCATCCATTGAGATACACATATGTGTGATCTGGATGTGTATAGTGCTTTATTTAAATAAAACTCCATACTTAGTTGTTCAGTAAGCGGTGATGCTCTCTTACTAGGAGCACCAAGTATATTTTGTTATGAACCCATAGAACAATAAAGTTGAACTTAACGTCCATTGGCCATGTTGGATAATGGTGATGATCAAGAGTGAGAGATCAAACTCTTTCATGTCCATTATTCCAACTAGGTGCAAATCATAGATTTTCTGAATTTACTTTTAAGGGTAAATTAAAATTGCTATGGTAGTGTTGTAATGGGATGCAAAATAAAGACAAGATAAATCTTGTATTAATGATAGTGTAAAAATCTCATATGCAAAATATCATAATAATGGAGGTAGTCACCATTAAGGTGTAGACCTCAAATTGGGCATAATCTATGTTAACATTAGATGCCAAGTTATTTTATGCAAGTTGTATGAACACGTCTTAAGGTAGTCATCAAAGATTTGATATAGACCTTAGTTAATTCGCAAACGAATTGGGTACTCACGTTGAGGATACTCACTAAGTTGTGGACTTAGTGTAGATCCTATAGTAGCAACTATGGTGCTACCTTGTGGATGGCCAATAGGAATATGAACTAATGGTAGTCATCTTTGTGAAAAGATGTAGATCATATGTTCTAATTTGTGATGTTGGGTACGCATGTTGAGGATAGTCAATAAGTGTTTACTTAGTGTAGATCCCGTAGTAGCAACTTTGGTGCTACCTTGTGTATGGCCAACAAACAAATATAGAACATGCGCATTATACAATTGATGAGAAAATACACTTAAAATGTTGCATCCATAATTTAAGCACGTAGTGCTTTAAAATTGAAAAGCTTAAATGGGCTTAAATCAAATGATCGATTGCATATTAAATAAATGAATTGCAAGATCATGGTCCTAATAGTACGGATACTTGTTTATTGGATTTGCCGTGTATGGGACAAATACTTTGAACAGTACCATAAATAGACATTTTACAATAGTATAACATCACAAGTACAATAATTGTTAAAGTCAACGCCTAAACAAATAGTACTTACACATAGAATAACTATGTAGTTTGCTGCAGAGAATTATTAGAGACAAATAGCATTATGCGAATTCTTTGCAAATAAAAAAAAAGATAAGTAGCAGGCTTGCTGGCCGTCAGGCCCATTTAGCAAGGATGTTGTACGAGCATGCTGTATGCCATCCAAGCAAAACGATCCGATAAGAACGAGTGGCAGAAATTGCCTCTCGCTCGAAGCCATCGCTATCGCTATTGCTATCGTAGCCTGCAGTAACACCACCGCCGTCGCCATGGAGGAGGCCGCTGCAGTCGCCAAATCGCTCCGTTACCGACGGATTCAAGCAGCTGGACAGCGCTCCCTCCTCCCTCGAGATGCTCAAGCTGGCTAGGGGGCGTGGCCCTCAACCTCGTCGGAGGAGAGGTGCCCCGCGCCACCGTTCTCGCTTGACCTGGCGTGGCCGTTGGGGAGGCCACGCGCCAATGGTCCGTGAGGGACATGGAGCCAGGTCCGTCGTAGGCTGGGGCGGCGGTTGGCGGCTTCGCTGGCGTGGACGCGGCGTGGAATTGGCGCACGATGACAGAGGCGGAGGAGGCGGGGCGTCGTCGAGGGCGCGGCTGCTCGAACTTCACCACGCGCGAGCGCGAGCAGGCGAGTCGGGGCTGGTGGCATGCCGCCGTCGTTGGTGGGGAGCAGCTCCAATGGCGGAGCCTGGATTTCATCTGGGTATTTCAAGTACAAAAAATTTTCGATGCATACGCAATAGTAATAAGTATGGATGAAAACGGTACGGATATTTATTCGACCGTCCGTTCGACCGAACAAATATGAATACTTATCTGGATAGTTACTCGGATATCCGTAATTTTTTTCGGATACGGATAATAAAACCGATATCTTAGGCGGATATCAAATACGAATGTAATATCATCGATATCCGGCGGATATCGGATAATCCGGTTAAGTATCGGATATATCCGGATATTATTCAAACGGATATTATCCGGATATTATTTAAACTTTTTCAAATGAAAAAATGGCCTATATAAGGATTGTAGATCTTGATAAGCTGAACAAACTTGGTATTCAAAACTTTTCAATTTGAGACAATCTAGGGTTCCGAAAACTAATTTAGTTTGTAGGCGTCGAAATTTAAAAATCACAAATTTGAACCATCCAAAATATCTCAAATGGAAAGTTGACCAAAACAACAATTGTAGATCTTGATGAGTTGAACAAACTTGGTATTCAAAACTTTTCAATTTGAAGTCATTTAGAGTTCATAATACTAGAGTCAAAGTGTTGTTTTTTCATTTGACCAAATTTGCCTTGATCAAACTTGCTCAAATGAGACACTAAATGACCTCAGATGAAAAAACTCTGAATACGAAGTTTGATCATCTCAGCAAGATCTACAATTTCTACATAGCTCATTTTCCCATTTGAGAAAGTTTTATCAAACATTAGTCATAAATTCTAGAATCTCATATAGACTTTCCAAAACTATGTCACACACTTGTGAAATTTGAACTACATTTTGTTCAAACTTTCTCAAATGAAAAATGACCTATATAAGGATTGTATATCTTGATGATCTGAACAAACTTGGTATTCAAAACGTTTCAATTTGAGACAATCTAGGGTTCCGAAAACTAGTTTGTAGGCATCGAAATTTAAAAATCATAAATTTGAACCATCCAAACTATCTCAAATGGAAAGTTGACCAAAACAACAATTGTAGATCTTGATGAGTTGAACAAACTTGGTATTCAAAATGTTTCAATTTAAAGTCATTTAGAGTTCATAATACTAGAGTCAAAGTGTTGTTTTTTCATTTGACCAAATTTGACTCGGTCAAACTTGCTCAAATGAGACACTAAATGACCTCAGATAAAAAAACTCTGAATACCAAGTTTGATCATCTCAGCAAGATCTACAATTGTTACATAGCTCATTTTCCCATTTGAGAAAGTTTTATCAAACACTAGTCACAAATTCTTGAATCTCATATAGACTTTCTAAAACTATGTTACACACTTGTGAAATTTGAACTACATTTTGTTCAAACTTTCTTAAATGAAAAAATGGCCTATATAAGGATTGTAGATATTGATGATCTGAACAAACTTGGTATTCAAAACTTTTCAATTTGAGACAATCTAGGGTTTTGAAAACTAGTTTGTAAGCGTCGAAATTTAAAAATCACAAATTTGAACCATCCAAACTATCTCAAATGGAAAGTTGACCAAAACAACAATTGTAGATCTTGAGTAGTTGAACAAACTTGGTATTCAAAACTTTTCAATTTGAAGTCATTTAGAGTTCATAATACTAGAGTCAAAGTGTTGTTTTTTCATTTGACCAAATTTGACTTGGTCAAACTTGCTCAAATGAGACACTAACTGACCTCAGATGAAAAAACTCTGAATACCAAGTTTGATCATCTCAGCAAGATCTACAATTGTTACATAGCTTATTTTCCCATTTGAGAAAGTTTTATCAAACACTAGTCACAAATTCTTGAATCTCATATAGACTTTCTAAAACTATGTCACACACTTGTGAAATTTGAACTACATTTTATTCAAACTTTCTCAAATGAAAAAATGGCCTATATAAGGATTGTAGATCTTGAATCCATGACCATGACTCCATGAGACCCATGAAGCCATGAGCTTGGCTATTTCTACTCATGCCGCGAAGATTGGTGCTTGTATGATGTTTGATGTTTGATGTATGATGTATCTGTATCTTTATCTTATTTGTTGCTTTACTCTTTAGTCTTTTGGCTTAATCTAGATGGATTATAGACTCATAGAGTGGTGTAATGGTTTGCGCACGTATGATATATATATACTGCTTTTACTCAATATCCGAATAGATATTTGTATCCGACCATCTCCGAATCCGATTCATACCGTATTCGATACTCATTATTCGTATCCGTAACCGAGTCAATCCGTATTCGTATATGTATCCGAACGCTATCCGTGTCCGAATCCGAATCTGAACAGAAATATGAAAACAAATATGATATGAGTGATATCCGTTCGTATCCGATCCGTTTTCATCCATAGTAATAAGGGACAAAACCAGTATAAATTTGATCCTGGTGCACAGCTCAAGTAGTATATATATAATTTTCTTAAAATATATGCTACGTAAATTATTTTTTTACCCTGGTAACAAGGCACCAGGCAAAGTGAACCTGGTGTCACCCCTGGTAATAATCAAAGTTTAAGTTCTTTATCTATGTTACAAGAAAAACAATGCAAACATTTCTTTCAAAAAAAAAGAACACAATGCAACCAAAATAAAAGAAAACGAAACCTTCAATTTTTGTTCTGAAGAATCAAGAATGGACCTGGGGTCTGTTGTGTTCGTCGTGCTGTTGCTTCAAGCCGCAGATGAGAGAGGTGCCGAGAGGAAGGGTCGGACACCTAGCCGCCGGAGCCGAGGGGTAGCCTGCAAAGACCACTGACCGCCGCCGCCGCTAGAGGAGTGCCGGGCGCATGGCACTGCCGCGTTCCAGACTACCAGAGGGCCGATGGGCGAGGGGCCGACCGGGCGAGAGCTGAAGGGCCGAGGGGGAGAGCCGACCTACCATGCCGCCGCCCGCCGGTGCAGCCGCCGCCCTTCCGATCGATGCAAGCGACGGATGGGAGCAGGAGACAGGGATGGGAGTACGGTCGATGGGTTTCTGTCTTTCTGAGTTTGTGGGCTGCTACTACTAGTTGTTCTTCTGGGCTTATGGGCTACATATTTGCAACATTCAACAAACTAACATGTTATATCATTATACATGTATATATATATTTGTGTTTGTCACAAAAATCATGTGTATTCCATGGAACACAGGGGCATACCCCTGGCGCCGTCCATGAGCGGCTTCGTGCCCTCCTCAAACCCGCCACGGTGAAGGACGGAGTCGGCGCTGGTGGCGCCGGCTCGACCTCCATCGGCTCGGTGGCGGCCCAGTTAGAGGGGCCGGCGACTTCAGGTGCAGGAGGTGGGCAGGGGCCGTGGCCATGTTCGACGCAGAACCGTGGCAGCCACGGCGGACATGGTCCTGGTCCATGATCGGGGCAGATGGATCCTGTTGGTGGCGCAGGGGCCACTGGAGCATCTGTGGCGTGACGATGACGTCCACCACGCCCACCAACTCGCATTCGAAACCCTTGTCCTCTTCCCCGGCGTTCACCGAGAAGATAACGGGAGGTGTCAAGGAGTTCGGCGTGAATCATGCGATCGTTGAACAGGAGCCCCATGTTGATGGCGCGGTGGAAGATAAGTCGACGATCAAACTCGCCGGAGGTACGTAGCGCAGAGGCGGCAGCATACCTTCGAATCTTCTTCTGGAACATCCTTCTTCTCGTTCTTGATAGCGAGGTGCTGATAACGTGTTAGAAGTGAAGGTAAATGAACAAGATTGGAAGAACTGTTGCTTTTATTGATCCCTGAAATATATTTATATGAGTGAAGGGGTATCACGACTGTTTCCAAAAGACATGCCATTTGAGATTAAAACTATCTAATCCTATTCATTAATCCTGTGCTTGATGGATGAGATCACTCATGAAAAGACGTGGCTAAACCTATCCACGGATCCTATGCTTGATGAATGAGATCACTCATGAAGAGACATCTGTTCGTATATAGGTGTCGTTTCACAACAATCCAAATACAAATGCAGGCCAGCTCTCGCATAAAGTTTCGAGAAAAATACCCTGACATGGAAATAATAGGATATCCTATTTAAAGTAATCAAGGGCTTAAATATTTTGAGACAAAGGAATATACTAAAACAATAATCTATTTGATTTTCGAAAGCAAATACATCGTTTCGAAGTTTCCCTATGGCAATAATTCGAAACGGTAAACTTAGCTGCGTGCTGACCAATATACCAAAATCTGAACGTACAGCAACTGAATAAAGAGTGATAGGCCTAAAATATACATTTAGCACACAGGAAGAATTAGGATCGTGAATCATGCTGAAACAACAGCCACCATGCCAGCCATTTTATAATTTAAAGTAAGCAAGCCACCGCACTGCAGCTATAATTTATGCACTGTTCATGTCAAACACAAACTCATCAAATAGGATCAGAAATAAATAGATCAGACAACGCACTGGAAACAATATTACATATCACAGTTGAGTTCAGGTTTGCACATAATAGTTAATACTTGCACGGGAACCACTGACAAGTTGCACTCCAGCACGCATTAGTCCAAACTTAAACAAGAGATATAGGAGCAGATAGACTAGGCACAAGATGGACTCTAGAAAACACCAGGGAAGTCACATTCAGAAGCTTCCAAGCACAGCACGTCAGCACCAAATTTTTATGTAGGTCACCAGCAACCTGCCAAGAGAATTTACATAAGACTTGGTTTGCAGTGAGAAAACATATGATGCAGAATACAAACATTATACATGCAGGATAGTGCCCTAAAGAAGACCGAAAACATTTACTGACCATGAACACCATCGAAAGAGCATAATCGACAGAACTAATGGCTCTTGCTGCCATCTGCGTATAGAAAGAGTTGGGGACAGTGGCATCAGTAGGTTATATAGTTATGTAATTTGGGGAAAATTTAGAAGGCACAATAATAAGTTTAGTTTCAGGGCACAGACCTAGCATTGAAGGCTTAAGGAAATGCTCGTCTTCAGGAAACATCTGCAGGACCTTGTCTTTGATGCCAGACCTAACTGTCTCAAGCAGTGGGATCTGTGAAGAATTGACAGGTAGAAAGTTGAACATAGATGGCAGAGACATTGATGGTGATGCATCAGCTCCAGACTTTATGAGTGTTACAAAAGCATCCATGAAAGCGCTTGGGACACACTCTAGAATTCCCTTGTTCCACGGACTGTCAAACAGTATAGCCTCCCTTGACGAAGCAAGGAGGAAGTCAGCCTGAATGATGAAGGGGAAGCTTGTTACCATCTCAGTTGGGAGGAAAGCATAGATGCCAGGTGATAGCTGCTTCCCACGGGACAGACGCTCACCATGTGGGAAGGCCAGGGTTATCACCCATTCATCAATTTCAGCACGCTTATCGACTCTGTTCTCTGGCTTTACTGGGAATTTCTGCCTCCACATATAATAACCACATTCAGCTTCATCTTTCCCGGTCTCTTCAGCAGATAAATGGATTGTGTACCACTCAGCATGCATGTTCTTCCTGGCTTGGTAGTTCTTTTCACTGGATATCGAAATCTCACTAACAGTTGTATTGCTGGGATCAGAGTTATCCTCCCGGACAGAAAGTTTCCTGATCTTTGTCAGGAACAGTAGCATTTCAGGATGCATGCTTGACAGCTGCCTCTTCACCGCATCAATCTTCTCACTCTTCAATGGTAAGATGATGATAGTTGTAGGTAGGACCTTTGAGCACCCATATAATGTTTCGATGTCGGAAAGGCTAGGTGTGGATTCCACCCACTGAGGTACAATGTACCCAATATTGCATTCTGCACAAGGTTTCTCATTGAACTTGATCTGATAGCCGTTGCTGAATATGTGGGGCTGACTTGATATCAAGAACACACTTTTGAACCCAATACCTGAATCAGAGGCAACAAAAAATTAGTTGAGACTAGGCACAAATAGTAACCAGATATGCAGTACGTTATGTAATCCTTTGCAGTGTATTGGTTGTAGTAGGTAAACAGATAATGAAAAAAAATGCTACAAAGATTTGACATCTGATGAAACAAATTTGAGCAAGGTTACATTAGGCATTAGACGCTCTCTAGGCAGTGACCCTCTTCCTCTCGCCTAACCGTTTTAAGGCGTTTTGTACAAATACATATATTATATCTAAAAGAAAAGAATAAAGCGGAACAGTGGGATTAGATTGGAAATAAGGCACATCAAAGAGTCCAGCCCATCTTACCCACTCCAACCTTATCCATCTGCCTCCTCCCAATTCAAGTCGCACGCACGCACTCAACTCTCCTAGCGCTCGTCGCCCGCCAGCTCTGCTTCCACTCGCGCCCGCCTCCTTTTGGCCACGCTCGTCACCCACCAACTGTTGCCCACCGCTAGCCTCCCCCCGGTCGTGGCCGTGGCACACCCCCCTCCCAATCGCACAGGCTGCTAGCCTCCTCCCGGTGACTGCCTTCGCCGCCACCCGTTGTCACTCCCTTAGACAGCGTGGCTCCAGATCTGGGGGCACGCCACCTATCGGTTGGTGCATAAAAAGGAAACAAAAATCCCTAATCCCCTAATCTCAGGAGCAGTGCAGTATGGCCTAACATGTATCTATTGCTATAGCATATTTATATATCTACGTGCATAATTATATACCATATATATTTTAAATGGCTACGTATATCTCTTGCATATATATCTACATTCGCAATTACATACTTATATCTTTTCCAGTTTATCCTAATCAAACTATGTCATGTCCAAAGTTGCAAAATAAAAAGATATACCACATCCAATAGATCGCGCATGCATCAATTAGATCTAGAAGGTTTTTTATATCTAAACCTTCCCAATTTTCTAAAAGATAAAATTAAATAAATATATATATTTTACCTATTACCTCCTAGGAAATAATGGATGATCCTAACGATCTGATCTAATTAAATAAACAGCTCACAGTCATTTAAATTTAAATGCATAATATTAACATAACTATTGTTTAATTCATCTAAAAATATGCTTATCAATTTGACTAAAGTAATCCATCCCAAGTGTTTAGTTTATGAATGCTAATGCTAGCATCTCAAAACATAACATGTGTAGTTGTGTATTAAAATAATTGTCTTAAAGGCCTTACTTTAGTTAGATAGGATTACAAAATTTTGTCTAAAAACAATTACAATATTTATTTTAATGCATAATATGAGCATATGCTCTTGTACCACAATGAGGTCTCTACCACTGTAAGACATGGCAACCAAAAAAGAAATTAGAAAAGACATAGCTTTCATGTAATATCGTTTTAAATGGCGTGATTTATGATTATTTGGTCGAAACCACCTTATTGGTAGAAATTACTATAAGTTCAAAACTTGGCACGTCCATAGTAAATTCATATATCGGACATGTCTTAAAAGTTGAGATGCAAGTCCGGTCGTGTTCTAGTGCAAATGCACCTAGATTTTTGTATGAACTCAACTTTTCTACAAATCGGATGCAATATGGACGGGCCAAGTGTCATTTTTTAAAAAAACTTCTAAATATATTTTTCAAGTGGTTTCCACGATTCCACGGAATGTTTTCCCATGATATAATTGATCAGCATCATATTAATTACTGAACATAGTTTTAGTCATTCAAAATTAAAATATTGTATGATCTTTTACTGCTATCATTTGCCTGAAATTGACTGAAAAGGTCCTAACTAATTTTATCTCCGTGGATGAATATTTCTTTTTCTGAATGGTGATTTAGGAAACAAAATGAATGAAAAAAACTGTGAATATTTACCTTTCTCTCCAATGTAACCCTGATGTATGTTTCCCTTCTTTGTTGATTTCCCAACACGACAAATTGACTCTATATTGGTTGCAGAGAAACCCCTCTCATTGTTGAAGATGAGCAAAGTTGAGGATGCACCACATCCAGTAATATCCTGTGATGTAATGAGGAACTCCAAAGAAGGTGCTACTTCAGTAGGGTATTCATTATCTTCAGCGTTCTATTTTTTGAGAAAGAAAGCAAAGTATGAGAAGAAGTATTAAGATTTAAGCACAAACACACCTGCAAACTGATATAAATAAGGTGGCCACAGACAATGCCTAACTTCCAAGGATTAGTGTTTTTATTCTAAAAAAAAGGATTAGTGTTTTTGTTCGCTTCACAAGTTAAGAGGAATCAAATAAATACAGAGGACACACAAGAAGATGAACTTTTTGTTTTACCAGTTAGTTCTGCTATTCATCATTGAAGAAAAGGATTATGACAACTACATGTCTTTTTAAATTCGACAATAATTACTGACCACGTGGAAAACTTATGTAGGAAAAAATAACAAGAGCAACGGCTTAACTATGATAATTATATAAACTCACAATACTGAAAAGGAGGGCTGACAAATTATGCTAACAAATAAAACAATTGTGCTAAATCGGTACCCAAATTCATACACACATCAATTAGCCAATTGCAGAAACTGTAGAGCATAGTAGCCTCAAGGCCCTGAACTAAGTTTCGCTCACACAAGAACAGCGACAGCAAGAGAAACGCCAAAAGGAGATTACACCGGCCGATCGATTACCTGCACGAGCTCCATGAGGAAGTGCACGTCCTTCGAGTAGAGCTCCTGAGAGAGGTAGTTGATGGCCTGGTGCATATCCTCCGCCAGTGGGTTCTTCTGCTCGCCGCGCCCGATGTAGTAGCGCTCCCGCCGGATCCTCTCCACGTGCTCCCGCGGCGACGCCGGCGGCGGCATCACCGAGGACGACGACATTTTGACGGTTCCACTTCCACTGGACTACCAAGGGGAAGGGACGCGGCGTGGGTTGCGAGAAAATGCAGAAGGGAGAGGGAGAGGAGGGGTCTTCTTCCGGACTTGCAGGCTGCCTTTATAACCACGGTGACTACAACGGCGGTTCTTCGAATTCTGGTGTTTCTTCCTGCAAACAACTTGTCAGCGGCAACTTTCAAATAGTTAGACTTAGGCCCCATTTAGATGCCACCCAAAAGCTAAAAATTTTTTGCACAGTATCCGTCACATCGAATCTTGCAGCACATGTATGAAGTATTAAATATAGACGAAAAAAACTAATTGCACAGTTGGGTGAGAAATCGCGAGACGAACCTTTCGAACCTAATTAGTCCATAATTAGACACTAGTTGCCAAAGAAAAACGAAAGTATAGTAGCCAAAATCCAAAAAATTTTGGATCTAAACGGGACCTAAAAAAACATTATAGTAGAGAGTTATTTGAACTACGAGAGAGTTATTTCTGGAAAATCATGTTAGACTGCTATTTGGCTATTTGATCTCTTCCTAATAATCAATAGAATTCTTACTAAAGGTGTGAGAGGGTTGTTTCTAAGAGATCGTGCTAGACAAGTTATTTGGAAATCACTGGCTATTTGATCTCTTTCTGATAATCGATAAAATTTTTTCTAAACTATCTATTTGGAAACCATTGAGAACGCCCTTAGGCTCACATTAAATTACCAGCTCTACTTTACCTTTGCCTGTCCAGGCTAATCACAAGTAGATGCTAGGAGTGAAAATTAGCTCTTGTCTATCAAAGGTGCCGTTTGAATTCCAAGCAATTCTAAAAATTTAGATTAAAAATCCCAACAGTTTAATTAGATTTCAAGATTTAAAAAACTGTGAGTTAAAATCTCTCTAAAATCTAGTCCATTTGGATGAGACACACGATTCTAATCCGGAGGATTCAGAAGGGCCTAATAAATAAGAAAGCTAATAAATAATGAGTTAGTTTTAGTCAACTTCTTAGCCCTCCGTTCTTTTTTTATAGGAACATGCTAACGGGGTATGATTCCTTTGGACGGCTGATTCCTACGCGCTCCTGCACAGCCTGCACTCCGTCCACTAATTCACCATGTCCACATGTGCATCGCCGTCGTCGTGTCCGTATGAGACCCCACCTCTTCTTGCCCCCGACCGCCACTAGCATCTAGCAACAGCAAGGCGTGCGAGCACCACCGCCACCAGTGCCACCAACACCGAGCTTGGCTCGGGCAGGCTGGCGGGGCATGTGACGGGCGGAGCGAGCACCACCAGCACCAGTGCGCGCGACGGGGGCAAGCGAGTGGCGACGGATGGGGCGTGTGGCAGCAACGAGGGGATTGCACGTCCACACTCAGGACGGAGCAGCTGCAAGGCACTGCAGCAGGGGAGGAAGCGGAAGGGATATTGATGGATGATTTTTTTTAATAAACTCACAGGCAGAACGAGCGGCAGGGTAAAGCGCAAGCAACGAGGCGGTGGACCTGTGGGAGTGTCTGACGATTTGTGCTCGCGTCAGATGTAAGACACGTAGCATTACCACTTTTTATAAGGTGCGGTCGGACATACCAAGGTCTACCAAATTACAATTTGATTATTTATTTATTTTTACATTATATTGTTTATACTTATAAACTTATGATAATTGGATACTATATTTAATTGCAAATCTAAATGTATCAAATTTGTAATATAATAATTAAAAAGTATTAGTCAAATTATTGTTAAAGAGTTTTAAAGTTTAATTTTTCATATATGTTTATGCCTTATAAAAGAGAACGGAGGGAATAGCATATAACTTATCAAGGCTAATAGTATATTGCTAGGGATGTATGCACCTTTTATTAGACTGGGAACCAAACATGTGTAAGGCTAATAGTTAGATGACGAAATTTTAGCTGGTCTCGAGTAATAATTAGATTTAGCTAAACAGGTCTGGTCCATCTTGTCACTTTTAAAAAAATATTGTGGGAGTAGTGCTGAAATTCAAAAGTGACTGTAAATTAAAGGGTGGTTACAGTACTAAGTTTTGCAAGTATAATTTCTGAGTTAATTGATATATTGTTCTTTAAAGTCACTTCATCCCTATTATTACTATCTCGGGAGACTAAATTGACATGTCTCGAGTTTATTGGTGGACATGTGGTTTATTATCGAAAAAATATATTCCTTAATAAATTAAATATACAGCAATATATCAGTCAAGTATCATGAAAGCTGATCAAGATTAGTACAAAGTGTCTCTCAACTTTGCTGCTACGCACCCGAGCACAAACTTTTGCTACTGCTAACATTGGTCATCAGTCGAGCAGGCAATGCAACCAGGCTCCCACATGCATATCTTCGCGCCGAAGGTTGCTTGCCTACCCTACACGGCTACACATCGTTAAAGCAAGGCCAGGACGGAGTCAGTCTTTCTGAGGCAGAGCGTCTCGTCTCGACTGTGAGCTGCCCAAGTGACCCGACGAGAACCGTGAAACGTGTAGGTCGCTGTCACTTGTTTGTCGTCCCACCGCGTGGAAAGCTACCCCAGGACGACGCAGCTGTTTACCTGTTTGGCACTAATTGGATTAAAGGTATACAGAGTCTAGTCAATTCAATTTTGAGGAGGACCTTCCTCTTTTTAGCCTCAATTTTGGAGTGATCACTCTTTTTCCAAAAATAAAATAGGCAAGATTAATTTTCTTGGACCATGATACGGCACTACATAAAAAAAAAGGTTTTTAGGGGTGGTTGAAGGCCATTTTTAGGGGCGGTTTGACCAGCCGCCTCTACACAACCGTCTCTATAAATTATGTATTTATAGGGGCGGTTCCCAGGCCGTCCCTACAAATCGATTTGTAGGGGCGGCTCGTATTACCAGCCGTCCATACAAATCGATTTGTAGGGGCGGCTATAGTACCAGCCGCCCCAACAAATAGGTATTTGTAGGGGCGGTTCAATCTAGAACCGCCCCTACAGTACGTTTTCTCGTCAAAAAAATTTAAATTTACAATTCAAATTCGACCAGAACTATTTGTTTCCGCGTATTCCATCCAGCGTTCGCGTTGCCGAACGCCGCACGACCAACGTTCCGAACCGCGTTCGCATTGCCGAACGCCCCGTGACCAACGTTCCGAACTGCGTTCGCGTTGCCGAACGCCCCGCGACCAACGTTCCGAACGCGACTACAAGCACAATAGTATTATATAAACTACAATTACAAGTCCAATTTATGAGAATATATATAATCCATCATTAAATATACAAATTTCATACACATTGTTATTAACGTCCTAGAGCTAGCCTTTCAGTCTCACGAAGGTGTTGGTACTGAGGATTTCTACCTAAGTCAGACTCTTGGTCATGGTAGGCGCCTTTGACGTGTACAATCTGGTCCAATATGAAGTTGCAAAGGTCGCCAACGAGCTCTAAGAGTTGATCATCCTTGTATGGGTCTTTTTTCATTCATTTCTCTTCTCTCCACTACAAGAGAACAAGTTTCGGTTTAGTATTTCATACCATATACGAAGTTTTTATACTACTGATGAAGAGGTTCAAACTTACCCTTAAGGGGTGTCTCCTGTAGGCATTGGTGTTACTCATCATAGAACATATATAGTATCCACAATGTACACTCACAGGCCTCTGCTTAGGGCACTGTGTGTTTTGCATATGAAAATATTAGGTAATGCTTTTGATAGCCATGTAACGGAGTACTGAAGAAGTTACACTTACCGCACATAGTATTTTTATAGCCAGCTTTTCCTTCCCTGCTGGATCATGCCTTCCGTGATGATGAGTGACATAGAACCTAAATGTCCTATTCGAATTATTTTAGCAAATACAACTTGTTAGTATCCAAAAGTAAACGTTACAAGTATGTATATAAACATATAAGCTAATGAGGATTGTCGATATGTATACGTCTTCAGAATCGATATGAAGTCTTTGTATGTCGTCGGGTCCCTATCTATTGAATCAAAGACCCATGCCATGCTCCTCCCGACATCGACGGCTATACAAATCTAGTAGTTGCTGTATGGATTTAATCATAGAACTAGATAAGCTCTTTTGTATCGAATAAAATATATCGAACAAAGCTTTAAGTATAGAGTTGAACTTACTCGAAGTTGTATGGTAGCCATATAGTAGAGTGTTGTTATAGATTTTTTAAATTCAGAGCAATGTATGCCGCAACCTTAAGGGACTCTTCCTTTAGTTTCGTCGTACAGATGCGCTCTTTCTCCCGAAGAGTCTTTGCAGCAGCTAGCTCTTTGGCATCCAGTGTCCACTGTTTAAGGTAATTAAAATTGGTTTGGGCTATAGCTTGAGGGTCTAGATACCCGGCTTTCACACTTGGCATTTGTTTGATAATGTGTACTTGCATTCTACAAATCACGGCGTGGGTTAGTTACAACAAAATTCAAAGATTACATTCATATCATATCGGGAGGACAAGGACTTACAGGCACCACGTGCGAATTAGATTCATCTCCATTTCTCCTAGGTGAAAGCATGTGTGCATGCCATTGAAGTCAAAGACAATTTTCTCGGCTGGGCTTCCAAATGTGCCGGTGGGGAAGCATGCTTGTATGAGATCTATGCTCGTTGGGAGAGCACGCAAGTACCAATCATGGAATCTTCTCATTCCAAGTGGTAGGCGCTGGATGTCCTGGTTTGGTAGGAAGGGCTTGCCTCTTTCATATGTTTTTGGGCAATCCTTTGACCATTTGATGGCATTAACATTTGGATACTGCTTTGCAATTTGGTGGAGTTTGCTAGTTATGGCCTCCTCATAACCCCGTGATGGGACTTTTTTAACTTGGTTCTGAGGCTTGAACTGGTCATGGGAATACCCGTGATGGGACTTTTTTAACTTGGTTCTAAGGCTTAAACTGGTCATGGGAATACCACTTGGACACCGACGAGACGTCTTTGATCAGAACATAAACTGGCCTTATGTTGATTGGAATCTTCTTTCAAAGTTCCCATTCAGGC